TCTCTTAACAGAGGAGGAGGCCTCAGATTTCCACTTTCAAAAACATATAATGCAACTTTAAAACAGATTCCCAGCCGTTTTTCACACCTGATGGGAACAGAGGGGCCTCGACTGTGAATTAGAGGAACAAAGACCTACTGTTTAGGTTTTTTTTTTTTTTTTTAGGTGTGAACTGCCAATCTACATATACAGTATGTGTGTGTGTGTGTCTTGTGTGTGTGTCTTATCTCACTCAGCCTTATAACCTGTATCTCTCACTCTCTGCTCTTTGAATTGAGAAAGCTCCTCGGATGAGGAGCGAAACGTCTTCTGTTACAAATAAAGTCCAGTTGTTTTTGTATTGAACGCCTTTTGAATTCATCATGTCCTGGATGACTGAGAATCTTCACCAGCATAAGGTAATAAACAGTGCATCAAAGCAACTTTTTAATGAAGAATTTCTAATTGGAAAAGATAGTCGTGAAAGCGAACCATTTAAAAACATTTAAGTTATTAATGTTTACTGACAAAGAGCTGAAACTAAACAAACTAATTCTGCATAATTTTTTTTTCTTTCTTTTTTCGGCTGCTCCCTTCTTCAAGGGTCGCCACAGTGCGAAGACTTTGCAATTGTTTTTATGCTGGATGTTCTTCCTGACGCAACCACAGACCATTACCACAGCCCTCTGTGTGGAGCAGAGAGCTGCCATCTAGGGCGTCCAGGGAGCAGATGGTGGGGGTTGAAGGCCTTGCTCAAGGGCCCAGAATGGTACAAATGAGGGTGGAGGCAGGTGTGGGTGCTTCACCATTCCCACCCACATTTTGCTGTTGTTTGACGTCTGGGAAATTGAACCGACAACCTTCTGTCACAGGCTCCCCTTCTCTAACCTCTGCGCCACCACTCCCCTTCATAGTTAACTACACATGTTTATTGAAATTATGCATTTAGTTAAGAGTTACATCCATTATCTTTACCCACCTCTTTCTTGTTGGGTCACTGGTGTCCATAGCCATCACTGTGTGAGAGGTGAGGACACCCTGGACAGGTCTCCAGTCCATCACAGGGACACATAGAGACAAACAACCATTCACTGTCTCACTCACACCTAGGGACAATTTAGAGTTACCAATCAGACTAACATGCGTGTTTTTGGTCTGTGGGAGGAAACCAGA